AGAGAGAGCGAGTTGTGACTTGAGACTTGACGACATTGGATCCAGACTCAACCTTGGGATTCAGACATTTCGACGAGGGACTATTTGGGCCTGTGCTGAACACTTGGTGTTGACGACATTCCCATCTTCCCCTCTTCTTCGTCTAAACCCCATCTTCTTCGTCTGTGTATGGTTGGGACTGGCGCAGTCTTCCTGCGTGAAGCGCCAGACCCCTTCACACCATGGAATGATGATGATGATGTATAGGGCTGCATTGCAATATTGATTGTTCGGATCATTGGTATCTAAGTCTTCCGCTGTGCTATTTTATACTTTGTATTGAAAGGTCGGTTCTTGTTCTGGTCTGCACCTATACGGTATGCAACACTCCCCCAGCACCCCCCCACCCACCCCCCCACCCCCCAACTTAACTTTTTTATTGCAGATTCGTGGTCCTCTAGGGTAGTGCAGCACAACTCCGCCTTCAAAAAAAAAATAAAAAAATTCCTTACTGTGTTTTTGCATCGCCCAGTTTCGCCGGGCGGACCCCCCTGGGCCCAACCAGCCGGGGCCCGCCCGGCCGGGCGGCGACCCAGCCTAGCTTTTTTTCCCTTTTCTTGCTTTTTCAGAAAAAATCTGCAGTTTTATTATATAACAATCAATGAGGCCGGGAATTCCTGTACATCTCAACCCGGACAGTGCTGGGGCCGTTACCCAGATTAGGCTGGATCTGGAAACCAGGTCCAGAGTCCCATTATCGGCAACTTCAAGTAAAGTCAAAACTGGACAAAAAGGCAAGCTGAAAAAAGGAACAGTTGGGCAAATAAAACCAAAGACCTGTTAATACCCAGAAGTCCTCCCTCTATGTTACCTACCTCTGGATTGCTAAACCCTAAACCCTACCCCTATCTTACTTCCTGACTTCTCTTTTTCCTTTTTGTCTCACTGCCCTTTTTGCCTTGTTGTGCTGCCTTGATGCCTTTTGCCTCGCTGCTTTGTCTGTCCGTGCCGGTTGCTCAGTCATTCGTCTGCTTTTTGCCTTGCCACTGTTTTTCTCATTGCCTTTTGCCCCGAAGCCTTGTCATTTATCCTTCATTCTGTGCTTTGTGACCTTTGCATGCCAGTATTTGCATTTGTTCCATGGGCATACCTGGTCGCGGGCTCTTTTCAAGTGACACAACATGCCACGGTACGATCACAGAAGTCTTATCACCGCACACATTCACACATTCACACTTGCCGCCGTTTTTCTCATTGCCTTTTGCCTCGAAGCCTTGACTTTCCAAGCTGCTTGCCTGGCCGGTAAGCTGCCTTTTCCCTTGCCACTTTTTGCGCTGCTTTTGGCTTGCTACCGTCTGGCTTGCTGACTTTCTTTTGCCTTCTGGCTTTTTGCCCTGCTGCCTTTTGTCTGCCTTGTTGTTTTTTTGTTGCTTGCCTGGTTGTCTTGCTGCCTTTTTTGCCCCACTGCCTTTAGCCTTGCTACCTTGCTGCTTCGCTGCCTCACTGCCATGCTGCTTCATAGTGCTGCCCTACTGCTTACCTTGTCGTTTATCCTTCATTCTGTGCTTTGCGACTGTTGCATGACATTATTTGCATTCGTTTCATGGGCATACCTGGCTGCAGGCTCCTTTTCAAGCGTCATTTGCAAGCACACTTTTTGACGCAGCATTCCGCGGTACAATCGCCGACGTCTTAACCTCCCAAACACACACATTCACACATTCATACATTCACACATTCATACATTCATACATTCATACATTCACACATTCATACATTCACAATTTCACACATTCATACATTCACAAATTCGTACATTCACACATTCACACATTTACACAGTCACACATTCACATGCAATCAGACTTGTCTTCTTCGACACTCAGCATGCATACAAACAGATGAAGATCAAACTGGCGACTTGCGCCCACACAAAGCTCAGAGATAACGTAGCCAAGAACACAGTTCAGATTCCAACTTGTCTCGATTGGCTATGGTGCACATGCGCCGACAAAGATTATTCCCTGATCAACTTTATTTCCAGCAACTTATTCGCACACACTCTGGATCTCCCTGGATGTACCGCACAAACATACACAACACGCTCACATACACAGACGAACATTCTACTACTAACCTACGGGCAGCTATGGCTGCCTTCCTGTACCTCTACTAACAGCAAGCGGCTATGGCAGCGTCTTCTTCCTCTTCGCCCCCTTCCTCTTCAGGCACTTGCAGACCTCCATACACAAGACTCACAGGCAGTGCTTCCACACGGCTCACAGGCAGAATGAATGCATGACTGAACGCTGCCTCTTTATTTATCCTTCGGATCGTCAAAGGTCTGCCCTTTGACACTGGGCCTGGGATGCACATAGTCCCACATGGTACCTGCTGACTAGACAAAGTGCGACCAGGACTGGGTACCGCTGACTAGGCTAGGTAGGACTAGGACTGCCCTTTGCTGACTGTGCTAGAACTGACCTTCGCTGACTCAGACGCGGACTGACTCCTAGGACCAACGAAGGGCCACTTCCGGAAGGTCCGGAAGATCGTAGACTTGACCCTTCGATACTATAGCAGCTACGACCTTGACCCTTCGGCACTGTAGCAGCTACGACCTAGACCACTGCTGCGACTCCTAAACAACAGACCTACGGCTCAAGACCCGGCGACCAGACTATATACAGCAGCTAAACATACGACTTTCAGAACACAGATAGTGGGGTGAAACACACAAGGGTCAATGTATACTGTACATGGGTGAGGGGGAGGTCTAGGGATCTCACCCTGCATACTGCATCTGCTACCGTAAAGGTGAAAACCGTTTCACTCCCGTCGGCCTAAATTCGAGGTCCTCCGAGAATACTTCAAGGCAAGGCAGGACCTTTACCTTTTCTTTCTCTGTCGTAGGCGTGCACTATGTTGGGAGAGGTCTCTAGAAGCTATGTTCTTGTAAACCAGCGGTTGTCCTCAGGTTCCTGATAAGCGAACCTGACTTTGTATTGTTTCTAGGGACGATCCCTACCTCCGGTTCTGAAGACATCCTCTTCCACAATGCCATCTATATCATATGTGCCATCCATGTCGGGCAGGAACATTCACCGACGCGACGGAAATTGCTGGCTGGTGACACAAGGCAACAACTTTGATGCATGGAAGACTGGGTATGTGTGGAGGTGTGCCGGTATCTCTATCGTGTAAGAAGGCCCATCCTCTCCACCCTTTACTTCTAGGACAGGCCATGGTCCTCTGTACGCAGGTAACAACTTTTGTGAGATGTTGTCTTCTGGGGCAAACTCCTTAGACTTGACCCAAACTAAGTCTCCTACCTGGAACTGCGATGGCCGACGATGCTTATTAGCTTGTTCTATCATCTTATGCTGAGCTTTTCCCAAGTTGTCGGTCACTCTTGCGATTTATTTCTCATGATGTAGCGCAAATTCTCTTGTTCTGGGTGGAAGTCTCTGAATCTGGTCACGATTCAGTCCTTCAAATGGCCTGCGTGGTCTAAAGGACTTATGTAACTCGTTAGGAGTTTTGTAGGTAGCTAAGTGGACACTATTGTTGTAAGCGCGAGCTTCCTTAGGGAGCATCTCATCCCAGTTAACCTGATCGCGTCGAATATACATCCTGAGTATCTGCTGCAGGGTCGTATTCATTTGTTCATTCTGACCGTTAGTCTCTGGAGGACGGCCAGATGGCATCAACAACTTTGAGCCGTAAACTCGCATAAGCTCCTGCCAATTCTGGCTTGGTAAACCGCGTATCTCTATCACTAGCTATAGATAGCGGAATACCATGCTCACTTACCCAAGCATCAAGAAACTTCTCTATCACTAATTCTCTGCGTGCCTCAGAGGGCAAAGGAACGGAAATTGCATATTTGCTAAAACGATCAACCACAACCATGACTTGGCTCTTTCCATGCCCACTCCTGACCCTAGCATCCATGAAGTCAATGGACACAGACTCTCTGGGTCCTAAAGGGATAGGCAAGGGCCTGAGAAGACCCAATGGGGCTCGCGTCGTAGTTTTGTTGCCCTAGCATACCTTGCAACTACGCACATACTCTATGCAATCAGCCTTCATGTCAGGCCACGTGTAAAGACGTGTCAGGTTGGCCAATGTCTTTTGCCAGCCAAAGTGCCCTTTTGTGTCGTGACATTCCCCTAAGATCAGACTCCGGATTTCTTCACTCTTGGGGATGCACAACCGATCTACGATGTTCGTCTTCTCAAATAACAACCCGCTCGTGGTGCGATAATTTGGTTCAGTGGTTGGGTCCTCCTTCATTGTCTTCAGAAGGTCACTGTAGATAGGGTCTTGCGCGTACGCATCTCTGACCTTTTGCTGTAAGTTTGTCCCTATGTCCAGATAGTGAACTATAGCTCCAAAGTAGTCGGCTCTTCTACTTAAAGCATTTGCGACCACATTGTACTTTCCCTTTACGGGTTTGAGCTCGAAGTCAAATTGGTCTATCTCAGTGGCCCACCTAGTAAGCTTAGGTGTCATCTTGGCCTGAGTCTTCAACCACCTAAGGGTCTCGTGGTCTGAATAGACTTTGAAGTGTCTCCCAAGCAAGTAATGTCGCCAATTATCTAATGCTTGCCTGAGAGCAGAGAGTTCCCTCTCGTAAGTAGAGGCTGCTACCTTTCTGAAGGCAACCTAGCAGATATTAACGCTACAGACCTATACCCATGGCCACCATCTTGTTGTAGAACAGCGCCAATACCATACTGACTCGCATCAGTTGTAACGACAAAAGGTAAGGATGGACCAGCTGCCTTGATGGTTAGATACTCTATCAAGGCCCGCTTCAACTTCTTCAGGGTCGATATGCAGTCCTGGTCCCACTTCCAAATTGCTTCTTTCTTTAGCAATCTGCGAAGGGGAGCAACGATTGCAGAGAACTTTCTCACGAACTTCCTGAAATAGTTAGCCAATCCTAGGAACAACCTCAACTCTATGAGTGTACGTGGAGTTGACCAGTCTCTGATTGCTGCGATTTTACTGTCCTCAGGTTCTATGTCGTCACCATCGAGGACGTGGCCCAAATACAAAATCTCAGTCTTGGCCCACTCGCACTTCTTTGCATTGATCTTGAAGTTTGCTTCGCGCAACTTCCCCAAGATCTGCCTCAGATGAGCCTCGTGCTCCTGGAGGGTTTTACTAAAAATCAAAATATCATCTAAATAGACAACTACAAATCTATCCAACCACGACCTAAACAAATCGTTCATACAACGCTGGAATGTGGCCGGTGCGCTCGTTAGTCCAAAGGGCATAACTATAAACTCATAGTGCCCATATCTGGTCTGGAACGCGGTCTTGTACTGATTGTTCGGGTGGACCTATATCTGATGGTACCCTGACTTTAAATGTATCTTTGAAAAGTAATTGCAGTCCTGCACCCGATCAAGCAGATCATCTATTCGGGGCAGTGGTTCTGCATTCTTGATCGTGATTGCGTTCATACCCCTATAGTCAATGCACATTCTTAACTCTCCGTCCTTCTTGGGGACGAAGAGAACAGACGCTCCAAATGGCGATGAATTGAGCTTAATCCAACCCTTCTCGAGGAGCTCGTCTAACTACTTGCACAACTCCTCTAACTCCTTAGGGGACATTCTATAGACTGCTTCTTTAGGAGGGGGGTATTACGAGTCAGAGATCTATGGAACCAAGATAGAAGGGATTGGCATTCCTCCTCTGACCTGCAGGAGCGTCTGAAATACAGTCATCATCAAACTAAGGCCCTGGAAAAAATAATAGATTTAATTCCTCTTGAGTGGGTTAGAATCCTTAGGAAGGGGCCCAAGCTTCTTACGAATGACTGGGTGGCCTTTCACAACCAAAAAGGTGTTGTCGGGAATGTTATTGAGATTTATAACCCAAATCAAATTCTTATTTCCACTTTTTATGTCCAAGAGGATGGCTTCATTAATCAGAATCTGAAAGATGAAGTTACATGGTGTTCATGTGACCAGCTGTTTAGGATTCGAGTTTTTAAATCTGATGATAAATGGCTGACTTTTAAACCAGATACCCCTATCTCCCATCTCTCATTTGATCCTATTAATTGGAGTTGGTCTCCTCCTGGGAACCGTGCACCTCCACATCCTAGGAAGTTGCACACTCTCACAGTCAAAGCTTCGTATCGGATGCTCCGACCGAGAGTTAATCTTAAGGACTGTATTGAGGAAAGATGGCAAAAGCATCTTAACATCTGTAAATATGAGTTGAGAAGGGTTAATTGGTTTTCTGCCTCCAAATCTAAACCTGCCAAAATAGCTTCTCTTCAGTGGCAGATATCTCATAGGTGTCTTCCTACCAATGACTGGATTATTAATAAGACTTCCCTTGAACAGAAAGGTATTGCCCTTCCATGATGTAAGTTTTGTAAATCGGCCTTCCCTTCCAAGCTTATCCCAGAAACTATTGAGTACATTTTTCTCCAATGCCCGGGGTCAATCTGGTTGTGGAGATGGTGGGATAGGATTTGGAGCCAGTTAGAAGTCTCCCTTCCTTGGCCTTGGGAATGGAAAGCCCTACTGTTGGGCTCATGGCGTCCGGTCCAAGTGGATGACTTTACCTATAATATATTCCAAGTAAGTAGGCGAGCAATCATCTGGGCAACATGGACAAGGAGATGTACCTTTGAAATGGAAAGTGCTCGTTTGGATGGACCAGAATTCACTGAAACCATCAAACACTAGATTCAAACTGATATAACTATCAAATGGGATCAAGTACAAGATCGAATCCAGTTTCTCTCGGATTTCAAGGAGATATGGCGTCACATAAAAGAATTTAATAAAAGTTGGCTTGGAATTGACCAGGGTGGGAGGCTGGGGAAGGTAATTTGGGAAGGTGGTTCCTCACAGACTCAAGCTCCACTGAAGAAGAACTATCGACTGGTCTTTAATGACTGAACCACTGTAGATTCCTCGATTCCCTTACGACCCTTCTCTGAATTCCCTGATTTCTTTCCCCCCCCAAATAATTGTCTTGTGCCAGTGTCTTGGTTTGGTTAGACAAAATGATTTATATTAGAAAGCTAGTGATGTGCTTACTAATCATGAGGATCTGGCGCCCTATAAGGGTGAAGAGGCACTTAACTAGTTTTCAGCAGAAGTTCTTCATCATCATCATCATCATCATCATTATCTTTATCATCATATGAGGGACGCTGAGCCCGGTTCTCAACAAATTTGGTTTGGTCACTCCGGGTAAACTGTGAGGACCCCGGCCTCAATCTTTGTATTGGTAATATCAGCCTTGGGCACTGGGCCCTTTAAAAAAAAAGAAAAAAGAAAAAAAAAAAGAAGTTCTACTGCCAGGCTCTACCTCAATGCGATGCTGGATAGGACGCTCAACTACTCCTGAAGGAGATTTTGACAAGTCTGCGTACTCTTCCAGTAGCTTGGCAATGATAGGGTTGGTAGATTCCTCTCTCTTAGGCTCAGTGACTGGCCTAACATAGGCCACAAAGACCTGCTCTGCTAATTGCTCCTTCACTAGTCGCGCGAACGCGAGAGCATTGAGACAACAGTGTGCCAAGGAGTTGTCTACTCCAGACACATGAAACAGGCGAGTTGTCTTGACGCCACTTGAAGGATTAGGGAGCCTATTCTCTCAGATGCAGTGTGGCTCCTACTGCCTCTCCCAAGTCCATCCCCAGGACCATATCGAATGGGAGATTGTCTTCTACGAGGAGAGTCAGGGAATGGATAACTTTTTCTTCCTTCCCATCTTTCTCTAAGCGAAAATATGCCTGGAATCCCTCGACGTATTCCTTCATTCGCATCGTGCGATTATCTGCAAGGATGCTGACAATGAGCTCTACCAACTTCTGAACTTTCAAGCTCAGTTTCAGCTTTTTCAGTGCTTTGCGAATAATATAACTGCGAGTGGGCCCACTGTTTATAAGGGCCCTTACTTTGCCTCTAAAAATCTCTACATCTACTAACACTAGCTGCCCTTTTGCCTCTTTCTTCATCTTGGTCCACGCTGGCATCCTCTCCTTCAACTCTTCTGCCAGTCATGTGAGGGAAGCACCTAGAGAGACTCTAACACAAGCAGTCTCTGGACAGCTAACTAGACGCTGGCCAGCAACCTCTGCCATAGAAACACGTGGGTTGGGAGTTTCTACTTGGTGCGCGCACTTATCTCCACATGGTCTAGAGGTAGGGGAAGTTGCTACCCCTACCGGCGGTTGCCTTTTGCTGACTCTGCAGCAGCTCGTCGGGCATCCCTCTATTCTGGGCAAAATCTTATAATGTGCCCATGGTCACCACAGTAAATGCACTAACCCGCATCTATCCTTTTCTGCCAATTTGTTTGTTCCAAGCCCAACGATTCCCAGGGTCTGCCCTGAGGCAGACCAGGGTGCCATTCACCCCTTCTGGGAGGTGATTGATTGGAACGCGGACGGTTCGACGGGGGACCTTGGCCCCTTCCTCCCCCTTGGCGGTTTCCCCTACTGCCAACCCCCTGGCCGCCCTGTCCTCGACCACCAAAGACCTGGCCCCCTTGGCCCCGGCCTCTCCCTCTTCCTTGCGGCCTCTCTCCAGCCGCGACAGTAGCGTAGGTCCTCCCTGGGCATCACTTTCCTCCTCATCGAGGCCTCACTCGATCTCACTATATGGGACCTATTCCAGACCACCCTCATCGAAAGTAAGGATCAGATGATCCTTGGTCGTGACTTGTCCCGAGATGGCCTGACCTTTCCACTCTTTCCCTTTAGCGAGGTCCTTGTGCCAGAAAGTGGTAACCGGTGTAGACTGGGCCTCATAAGCAAAAACTTCCCTACTAAGTGTGTAAGTTTCGAGCGGAGACGAAACTTCGTAGTAATAAAATAAATACGCGCAGCTAGCTAAATGCCTTATCTTTCATTCTTATCTTATCCTACTCTTTATGGTAATGCCTGCTCTTATAGGTGGGTTTAGGTCATATTGGGTTGCTGCTTTTTGTCAAAGAAATGCCCGTGTAAAATAGTTGGACAAGTTGGGGCTTAGTGACCCCATGCCCAGGGACGGCAAAGAGTTCTTCCATGGCGGCCTTGAGTGCCCTAGCGGTCTTCCACGGGCATGTATGGACCGTTTGCAGTTTGTCTTTGGCCCTAAGGCCCCTAGTGACATCTGCAAATCTCTCGCGGAGGGCGGCTAAGAAATCACTTAAGTTGGTTATGGAGAAGTATGTGACCATATCATTATCACGTTTAGCGGCGCGGGCTAGCGACCTCGCAAAGTTAGCCGCTTCATCCTTCAATCCCTGGAAAGCCACGAGGACATGGTTTTCAGGCATGATGATCTGGAGGTGTATGTAGGAATTGTTATTGGCTTCCCAATTATCAAAATCCTCTCCCGTCTTCCCTCCACAGGGTTCAGGGAATTTGGCTTTGATGCGCTCACGGTTGGGCCGTGCCTCTTCCTCTTTGGGTGCCTCTATCTTGGCACTTTCAATGGCGCCTGTGCAAAATCTTTCCGTATTTTTTAAAGCGACGCACATTTTTGCGCCCACAGGTATCATCATATCTCGTGCGAAATCTTTGAAGCTCATGCGCATGGATTGCGAAGCGATATCGTGACCTCTCAAATAGTGCAACGACTCTTGTTGGGCCCTCGGCATTACCTCCATGTTTTGCGATAGGAGCTCT